AGCAAGAGCAGAGCAGAGACAGCCCCTGAAGCCAGAGAGGGTCCTTTTAACCCTCCCCACTGGGTGTGATCCTCACGCCCACTGACTGGCTGCCCTCCTCCCAAATGCCCATCAGTTGGGCCTGAGGAGCAGCTCCTGGAGGTATTCCAGTTCAGGTGTTGCTTGTAAGCCCAGCTCCCCCTGTTGCCTGTGATTATCCACCGCATGGCCTTCCACTCTCGAACATATTCCATGTGGACAAATGGCCCTCGAATACAAAGAGCAGTTGACTGGGCTCCCCAGAGCCTGACCAGCCTCCCGGCTAACGAAGCCATCTCAGCCCCTGGCTCCTTCCTGTCACCCCAAGCATCATCCTCTAGCCACCTGAGTGCTGTTTGCTTCCTTTAACTTAGGGTGCTCTCTGGATACATGGAGGTGGGGATTTTCATCTGTGCTTTGATCTAAGTCCTTATTAAACTATTCTACTTTAATCTACACCACCCTGGCTCCAAACCCCGGCTGGGATGCTATCTTTGAACTCTGGGGATTGGTTCGTTTACCTTTGCTTGCCTCAGTTTCCCCATCAGGAACCAGGGTAATCCTCAAAACCTAGGGGTGGCAGAAAGATCAAGTGAGTTAGAGCAACAGGACCTGGTAGTTAAGTCCTTTCTGTGGGTCAGGTCATTGCATCATTATATGTGTTAATTTGCTTCAGGCGGGCACCTCGAGCAGGTTCTCTTATTATAGGAATCAAAAATGCAAAGGTTAAGATGCACACAACAAGGTCACCCGATAAGAGAGCAAAAGGTTGGTTTTAAGCTTGGGTCTAGCTGTTTCCAAAATCCTTACAATACAGGAGCTGTATTGTATTTCTGTGAAACCCCTTGAATTGCAAGGGTGTCTCCTAGTTGCAGTGCAGAGGAATTTGCCCAAGTCCAGGTTTCCCCTATTTATAACCCCTCTGATTGTGTGCCCTTGATCACATCACCTCTCAGGACATTCCCGCTGTGGGCCAGTGAGTTTTCTCAAGCACAGCCAGAATTGGAGGAGAGAAAATGTTGAAGCAGAGCCCTTGAAATGCTGTTTTAGGATAAAAGCAAAACAGAATCCTGCCCATTGAGGAATCTGCGTATGTCCTCCCCTCCCCCAGTCCTTGTGCAAAAGTGAACCTGGAGACAAAGGGATCCTATTTAACCTTGCGGTGTCGGTGAAATGCCTTCTGCTCTATGTAACCCAAGGACTCCAGAAACAGGGATATTCACAGGGAAGAATCAGAGCTTTTCTGATCCTTCCCCACATTCTCCACAAACAGGGGAATACAGCATAAGTCATGGGGCTAGGTACAAAGAGATTAATAGGACCCTGTGTGGGAAGTGCTAAGTATAGACTCTGGGGAGCAAACCCTAGAAGATGTCCCTACTGTTGGGAGTCCCCTGGCTCCAAAGACTAAGTTCCCCATCCCCCAGAAGAGCCATCCAAAGGTGAGCCCTCCTGGCTCACATGATCCTTATCCACCAATCAGACTAGCCCTGCTTGCTCACATGATCCTTGCCCACCAATCAGACTAGCCCTGCTGGCTCACATGATCCTTACCAAACAATCAGACTAGTCCTGCTGGCTCCCATGATCCTTACCACCAATCATAAAGCACCCCATGCCAATTGTCAAACCCTTCAACCTTTAAACTGTCATAACTGTCAAACCACCCCTGGCTCTATAAATATGCAGAGATGTTCCATAATAAACGAGGAATTTTCGCCAACAACGAGCCTTGTTGGTTCTTTCACTTAGAGCTTAGCATCTTGCTGGGTGAGCTCCTTTCCAAGACTGAGCCCCTGTTGCCACTCACCACCCCCCTTTTTCTACGGAGCTCGAGGCTGGACTTGGCGCAGAGGACACTTGTGTGTGTGCTGGGGACGGAACCAGGGCCTTGTGCCTGTGAGGCAAGCACCCTCCCAACTGAGCCTGACCTCCAGCCCAGAGGGCACATTGACCTCGTAGGTGACTGGACTTATTTGGCTAATTCTCCTACCACACCCTAGGAATGGAGGATCTTAAGAAGGCAGCGTCTCCGACTTCAAGGAATTCATGGTCTAGGTTGGGTGCAGTCTCTGAAAAAACACCTGCACGTCGCCTGGAATCTTGTTAGTAATTCAGTCCTGTCCCCATTCCAGGAGCCACCCAGTCAGGAGTCTGTGGGGTGGTGTCAGCACTTGGCATTTGACAAGCCCTCCGGGGGCTTCTGATTGCTTCAGTTGGAGAACACCGACCTAGTGGGAGAGAGGCAGATGAAAAATATGATATTTTTTTTGGTGGTTCAGGCCAATTCAGGGACCCTGGAAACAGAGACAGGAGGGTGGCCCCAACTTGGGGGTTTTATAGGGGGGTTGGGGCATGAGCTGAATCAGGAAGTACAGGCCTGACAATAGGGAGCAGAGCCAGCCACACCAGAGCTGTAGTGAATACCATGGGGTTCCAAGAGCAAACAAGGTGTGGCCCCTGTTCTCATGAAGTTCATCATGCAGAGAGGGAGGCAGGCACTGACCACTCCATGAAATGTCAGGTCACACAGAGGCAACACTACAAAGAACAGGTGTGTGAAGCTCAGGGTGGAAGTAGCAAAGAACTCTTCCATAGTCCCTGTTGCCACAGAAGGGACATTTGAGCTGGAATTCACAGACCAAGGGAGCAGAGAAAGGAAGAGCATGTGCAAAATCCCTGTGGCACTAAGTATAGCAGAAGCCAACTGGAGGGCCGGGAAGCAAAGAGAGAGGGGTCCAGTTGTAGATATGGCCAAACCTTGAAGTCTGTGTTAGGAAGGCCATGGGTAAACCTTTGAGGATTTTAGGCAGAGAGAGGCCAATTTCAGAGAAATATTTTGGCTGTTATAAGCAATAATTAGGTGTGGGTGGCAAGAGTGGAAGCAGGGAGACCCAGGTGCTCAGGGGTCCCTTCCACATACCAGATGGAAAATGGTAAAGGCAAGTAGCAGGTGTGAAGGACATTCTTCTAGACCCTAGAGAGCTTTACCAAGATGTCACACTAGCCTCATAATCCAACAAGGAGGCAGGCGCTCTTATTTCTCTCCATTTCAAGGAGGGAAAGATGGAGTCTCCAGTTTTCACGGAAGCAGTGGGTTCCTAACTCTCCAGCTCAGACTAGGAGAGCAGTAAAGGAGAAGGAAGGGGTGGGAAATTCTTTTGGGTGACTTTGACGCCACACTCGTTCATTCACCTAACACATTCTGGTACAAAGCCCGCTGCCTGCTGGCCATTCCTCAGGGAGCTTGTCCTTGCCAGGATGCTGCCTACCCCTCTTTCTGACATCCCTTTTAGGTAGGCCTTGTGGTGCCCCATTTTACAGATGAGAATATGGAGGCTCAGAGAGATGAGATCATCTGACCCTAAACACTTAAGACACAAGAGAATATCCTCCAGGTTCAGTCTCAGGTTGATCCAGTTCCCAAACGCATATTATTTCTTTGTCCAACTCCACAGTCCCCACCAAGACCCGGCCCAGCCCGGAAACTCATTCGCTGCAGGCCAGGAGGGGCCTGGGAGGTCTGGGAGGTGCTGAGTGTTGACATAGGGTCTCTGACAGGCATGGTATATAGTTTTAATTAAGGTTATAAGGGGTGAAATCTGAGAACTCGGGTGGGTGGCCTTCGGGTCCTTTGACCTTCCGATGCACTATCTTCCAGATCCACGGGATGAGTACCTGGTCGAGTCCTGGAATGTTCCGGAATCAGGACTCCAGAGATGCAATCCTGTGTTAAATGTAGGTGGAGATGGACTGCATGAAACCCAGAGCAGGGACTGGGAGAGTGGGCTGGACCCAAGCCCGTTCCTCCTGTTCTTTCATTAAATAGATTAATTTGGAGCTGGGTATGAGTTTTCCAGGTGCAGAAGTTATTGGTCCCCTGGAGCTAGGGCAGGACCCAGTTCTCAGGAAGTGTCCTGTGTGTCTGGAGACCAGCTGGGGTCTCCTTAAAGGAGCCCTGGGCTGAGGAACAGGAGCTGCACTGAGGTCCAATTCAGCCCCTCATTTTGGGGGGGATAATATTTTTCCTATTTCCTCCCATCCCCCTCCCCCACTCCCCTTTGTTTCTTCCAGAACTTTTCATTCCATGCCCTTATTTGGAAGGCACTTGGACTCACCATTGGGGACAACTGTCACAACAAGTCTCAGGCTGACTCCCACTGCCGTCCTGGCACCCCTA